CAGCAGACTTGAAATTGAAGCCTACACTGATGCTGATTGGGCTGGATCTGTTGGAGGCAGAAAATCAACCTCAGGTTACTGTACATTCTTGGGAGGAAACCTAGTCACATGGCGCAGTAAGAAGCTGAATGTTGTGACTAGATCAAGTGCAGAAGCAGAATACCAGGCTATGGCACATGGGGTTGCTGAACTCTTATGGCTCAAAACTCTCCTTAATGAGCTTGGTATCAAGACTGAGGGTCCTCTCAAGCTGTATTGTGATAATAAAGCTACTATCAACATTGCCAACAATCCCGTACAGCATGACAGGACAAAACATATTGAAATTGATCGACACTTTGTCAGAGAGAGAATTATTTCAAGAGAACTCTGTGTACCTTATACTCCATCAGAGATGCAGATTGCAGATGTATTAACAAAAGGGCTGGCATCAACAAAGTTCAGGGACATACTTGGCAAGCTAAACATGATTGATATCCATGCTTAGCTTGAGGGGGAGTGTTAGAATGTCAGAGTGTTGTTCGGCTGATAAGAGTTCATATTAGCCCAGTCTTATGTTTAACTTATCTTGTAACTGGGCCTGTGTTAATGGGCCTAATCCTGTTTAGTGTTTTAAGTCATTTGGGTGTCCCATCACTAATCAGGGGCATCCCAATAATTCTTGTACCTTGTACTATATTCATCTATAAATAAAAGACTGGTCGACTGCCTAGTACAGTTCGACATTCTCTTCTCCTCCTTGCTACTTCGAGTATAGCTCTTCAGATTACAATCACCTTCCACTACTAGTACCTGTAACATTCCGGGTCAACCTAGTGAGACTTCCACTGTGCCAGTTRCTTCTCCAGATTCGGCTGATGCTTCTGAAGGTTCTAGTGAACAAGAGAAAGAGATACTTACATACAGTAGAAGGAAGAAGGCCCCTCAAYCTCATGATTGCAACCAGTTGAACTCAGATCAATCTGTCTCTGCAATCCAAGGTAATTCTGACTCACTCAATTCAGATTTGGATCTTCCCATTGCTCTCCGTAAGCCTGTTCGCTCTTGTACCACTCAGCATCCCATAGCTGATTATGTTTCTTACTCACACTTATCCCCTGCCTATCACTCCTTTGTGTCTGCTCTTTCCTCTGTATGTATCCCTTCCAGGTATTCAGAGGTGGCATCTGATCCAAGGTGGAAAAAAGCCATGAATGAGGAGATGAAAGCCCTAATGAAAACAAGGACGTGGGAATTGGTGGACCTGCCAGAGGGGAAAGGCACTATTGGGTGCAAGTGGGTATTCAMAGTAAAGCACAGGGAAGATGGGTCAATTGAGAGGTACAAGGCCAGACTTGTGGCAAAGGGATTTACACAAAAGGAAGGAATTGACTACAAGGAAACCTTTGCCCCAGTAGCAAAGCTCAACACAATCAGGGTTCTACTGTCACTTGCAGCAAAATTCTCTTGGGGACTTCATTAGCTGGATGTGAAGAATGCCTTTCTAAATGGTGATCTTCATGAAGAGGTATTCATGGAACCCCCACCTGGATATGATGTTGGAAAGAAGGTATGTAAACTAAGGAAAGCATTATTTGGTTTGAAGCAATCTCCCCAGGCATGGTTTGAGAGACTTTGTTTGGCCATGAGGAAAATAGGGTACACTCAGAGCAGTGCAGATCATACATTGTTCACAAGGAGACAGGATGACAAACTTACAGTACTCATTGTGTATGTGGATGACATGGTGATTACTAGAAATGATGTGAAAGAGATGAAGAGGCTGAAGGAGTTCTTAGCTT